ACCCTCACTCGTTTAACCCTTTCCTTCTGCAAATAGCAGCTGGCTTCAGATAGACAGAGACTTTTCCAGGCTGTGCAGCCAGCCAGGGGCAGAGGGGAATTCAACTCCGGGCACTTACACCCGTCACCGTGACACTGCGTCACTCTGAAGACAAGGCATTGCCAGCCAGTGTGCAGGACAGCTGGGATGGGGAAAAGGACAGCAGTGACTGGCCATCCCCCAGGAACCAGGCTCCCATGCCTGGTTGGAAAAGCGCACTTGCCTTTTCGAGTCTCCTTGTAGCTCTTGGAGAGCTTCTTCCTCACCAACAGGAAAATATCGCAGAGGAGTAAATGTGATGGAAAACGCCTGGATGGATCACGATCTAGGTTTCAAGTGTGGGAAATGTGTCACGCCCAGGTGTGTGCATCCCTCCACCGACCTGGTCACTTCCACAGATTAGTTATTATTAAAACCGGGAGAGGATCCACCTGCCGAAGTGTCTCCACCTGGCTTTCTGAAATTAGTCTGTTGCCATCTGTCCCCGAAACTTCGACTTCCCTTTGTCCCTAACAGGGGCTCTGCTCTTGGCACTCTTACCTGCAGGTTTTTAGTCTCTAAGCTTGGTGGGTTCTGGTGCCGGGGCCCCTGCCCTGGGCACCCCCACCTCCTTTCGTGCATGTGGCAGTGGCCCGGGTCCTCAGGTCACAGGGACTCACACCCTGGGGAGCTGGGAAGGCGGGGTTTTTCTGCTCTCTATCCCCTGCCCAGCAGGGTTCAGTGAGGGACAGGGACAAATTGAGCAGAGAGAATTCAGAGAGCCCCGACGAGGAGCGGCTTCTGTTTCTTGTCACGGCCCCACTCCAGTGAAGTCCGTCATGGCTCGCTTTATCGATCCTCGAATTCTCGTCACCGCCGCGGAAGGACCGCCCCTGGGGTGTTCTCAGTTCCCACATTTCTCTGGCTTTCCTTCCTGGTTTCTTTCCCCAGAATGACCTTGTTTTTCATTGAGTCATGGCAACAATTATTTGCTTTTCATCCATATTTTCCCCTCAAATTGTCCCAGGTATTTGCTTTCAAGACCCATAAAGACGACTGTAAGAATAACAAGTTGGGCAGACAGCCTGGCTTCGATACAACATCTGCCAGAGGCAAACTAGAAATGCCTATCTGGAGGCGATGGTAACAAGGACACACCTCCGCGGTGCCCAGGCCCGTGTTGGTGCCTCGGCACCCCTCTCCCAGTGGGTCGTGAGCTCTGCTTTCTGAATCTTCCTGTCCCGAGAGTGTCACACAGTGTCTGTGGTACAGGAGGGCCACCATAATGGGCGGGGGACATTGGCGATGTCAGGTCCCTTCCACAGAGAAAAGGGTGGTCCCAGGCCTCTCCCGCAGCACCATGGGTGTCCTCTCCCCACCTCTAACCTTCCTGGAGCCTCAGCTTGCTGTTTGCTTTGCCCGTGGGGTTGTGAGCTTGTATCCTTTCTATCAAAGATCATGTGTGACCTTTTTCTTCTGTGGAAAAAAAAAAGCTGATTCTTGCGGCCGTGGTTTGCTGCAGCTGGTGAAATGGATTAGTCTGTTGACAAATCATCTTGGTCTAAACTGCTGACATTTCGCAGCTCCTGCTGGATTGCATGGTGTTGTGCAACTTTATGTGGACACAAATGAGTTTATTGGAGAGGGCTGTGTCTTTGTGGCTGTACCGTGTGTGGTGATAAACATCTTCTGTGGGTGCTCAGAGTAGCCTCAGCCACAGCCTTCCATTTCAGGGTGGCGGGTCACCCAGAGGGGTTAGGACGGCCCCTTGCCAAAGTAGACCGAGGGACCAGAGGCTGTGGGTCACCCCTCCTGGCAGGGCATCCTCTGCTGGTGGTCTGGGGTGTTTCTGTTCTCAGTGCTCACACTCTCTACCTCTGGCCACAGAACAAGCCTCCTGCAATGCCAACCACACCAGAGACAGGAACCCAGACCCTAGGAAAACCAGGCACTGCCAGGGAGGTATGGGTGGTGGGCTGTGCGTTGGGAGGGCGTCCCCAGCCCTGGATACCCTGCTGGAGTGGAGGTCCAGAGCTCGAGGGGTCTGGCGGCTCCTGTGGGGAGGAAGGGGACTAGAAGGGAAACAGAGCCAGCTAAGATCCATCACCAAGAAGTTTTAGGTAAGACATGAAAAAGAAGGCAGAACTCAGCCAGCAGATGCCACTGAACATTCACCCCTGAGGATCACTGATGTTGCAGACCAGGTGGGGACAGGACAGGGGCTGGACCGGGAGCTGGGGATGGCCACAGATCGAGCCGAGATCCTGCAGGCCTCCAGGTGTGCACGGGTGCTGCAGAATCGGAACTCAGGCTCCAACTCGGCCTGGAGGGGCGGCCAGAGGTGTGGACTTCAGGGGGACATGGGTGGGTCATAGAGGAAGGCCAGGGTCCTGTGGGGAAGAGATCTGCAGGAAGGGAGAGGACAGAGAACAGACAGGAGGGAACATCAGAGAACCGGGCTCCTGTCACTTCGGGGGTGCCAAGGCAGCCAGGCCCTGGGGACTCTGTGGTGCAGTGTGGAGTTGAGGTGGGAAGTGAGGGGTAGCAGACTCAGGGTGCGGCAGGGGCTGGACTTACCCGGGAGCTCATTCTGGGCTGAAGGAGCAGCCAGGGGACCTCAGAGACTCTGCCCTCACACGGGCATCGTGAGCCAGCGGTGGCACTGGAGCATGCAGTGAGGGGCAGAATTAGTGTCTGTTCAAATTCTGCCACTGGGCTGTGGGGTCTTCAGGATGTGGAGCGCGGGGCGGAGGCTGGTGGGGTGACCCCGCACTCTGGGCCCTGGGCTGACTTCACAGCCCTGACAGGCCCAGCTGGAGCGGCTTCCGGGCAGCTGGTCCATTTGGGGTTGGATCTTCTTCCTCTGCTCACCCGAGATTGACTTGGCTGAGCCCTGCAGGCTTCTGCTTTCATCCCAACCCCACCTGGTGATGGACGTGTGTGTGTGTGTGGCTGGGGATTGAACCCATGGTCTTTGCACTGAGATGTATCCCCAGCCCTTTTTTATTTTTAAACTTGAGACAGGTTCTAAGTTGTTAATTTGCCCAGGCTGAGCTTGAAATTTCCATCCTCCTGCCTCAGCCTCCCAGCACCATGGGCCACAGTACTCATTATGTGATGTTTCATCTTGACTGCCGAGTTGACTGGCTTCTGAGCCTCCCAGAAGGCCTCCAAAGCACAGTCTGAGTGTGTCTGGGTGGGCCGTGGGAGCGTGGTCTGCTGCTGAGCACTGGCCCCTTTCACTCTGGCTCTCCCTCCGTGCCCTCCTTGCTGGCTGCCATGGGGTGAACATCTTTCCTCTTCCACCACTTGTTCCTGCATTGGATCTGGGCTGCCATGGGCGGAAACCTCCGAAACCTCTCCTCTTTTGAGTTGTGTATGTTGGGTACTTTGTCCCAGTAATAGAAAACTGACTGACACAATCTGTGGTGGGTAGCGCTGCCACCACAGACAGGTGGCTGGACCTGAGATGACAGACCAGCTGCTACCGCTGGGCATCTCCCAGAGAAGCTGCCTGTCCCTCTTCCCTGGGACAGCGCCCCTCACTGTGATGCTAAAGGAGCAGCCCAAGGGATGTGGGCTCAAGTCCCAGCCGAGGTTTTCCTAGCACCCTGGATGCTCCTCACGTTTGTAGCATCTAGCGTGGAACAGAGGCCCAGACAGAGGTGTGGGCTGTGAGCAGCTTCAGCAGAATCCTCTCCTAAAGCTCTGGGAAGCCACAGGATGCATTTCCTTTCCTGGCATTTAAAAAAATAGTTGAAACATTTCAGCAGATTTTAATGTTTCCTATTTAAAAATGAAAGAGAAGCTGCACTAGAAGCTTCGGAAAGACACTGGCTATAGTTCTGAGAATCAAAGAGCTCCGAAAGGACGCCTCCTACCCACCCAGCCTTCCCCACGCCTGCTCCCTACCCGGGGCAGAGTTCACACAGCACAGAGCAGAGACAGAGGGGAGCCGGGAGCTGCGGATGGTGGCACTGGGAAGATGCCACTGTGGGTTCCCGTGGGTGCCCGGGAGGAGCCCTCTCCAGCTCTGGGACTCGGTGCTTCCCAAGGAGCCAGAAGTCTTCACGTGGAAAAACCAAGCAGGAGGAAAACAAGACAAAACAAAAAAAGACAGCTCCTCCCCGTTTTAATATCATTTTCAGTAGCACAATGCACTTAAAGTAAGGCATAGATTCCGCAGGGTAATGTGGCCTCAGGACATGATTTAGATGGAAAATTTAAGTAAGATTAATGCAATTTATTATCCGACAGGATATCCCTACAAGCCACACTATTTGGCTGAATTTTAGATTCCCAATCTAATATTTCAGATGAGATTTCCAGATGGGTGTCTTATTCCTCTATTAGTTTAGTCAGGGTGATATAGAGTTTGTAAAACAGGAGGGGTTAAACTAGTTTTAACAGTTGATTAATCACTGAAATTACTTTGTTACTATTCGAGTCCGCTGGCTTTTGTTTATTAAAGTCACTCCCTGAAAGTCAAAGCCAGCACAAACTGGAGGCCCATTTCCAGCTTTGCTAATTCATTCAGTGACTTCTTCAAAGGAAATCTTCTCAAAAGTAGTGAATTTATGGTTGCACTGAAAGCCTGCTCAGTGCTTGCCCTTTGCTTTGAGGAAACTAATGTGGAGGTTTGCACACTCAGGCACACGCGTGCACACACGCACACATGCACCGGTAGTGTTCCCAAGTCTGATTGTGAATTTCTGTGCCTTTGCCACTCCTGTCAAGAAGTGGACAGGTGAGGCTGTAGCAGGTGACGAGCCTCGTGTCTCCCGCGATGTAACCCGGCGCCAGGCTTCGAGGCGGCCGGAGGGAGGGAAGGGCTGGGAAGTGGCAGCCACAATCAGAGGAGCAGGACAGGGCTGGGCGCTGAGGGCAGGGCCAGCTTCCCTGCCTCCAAACCCGGCTTCTTCTCGGGATATAAGAATTTCCTGAAGTCTGGGCTTGGTAAATTGATTACAATCTCTTTTCAGAGACCCATCAGGACCAAAGTGGTGAGCTGCAGACATAAACTCAAATTCCAGAGTCTCCTTCTAACCAGCTCATAAATGAATTCCTAAATGCTGACTGCGCCAGAAGACCCAGCGTTGGAAAACCACTTGGCAGGAATCATCCATTTCAAAATGAGATGAACTGCTCTCTTTAGCCTCATTGAAAACTTCACAGAAACGCCAGATTTCCATAAACACAGGTTCCCTTGAATTTCCAGGGCTTTGATTAACTGGTGGACCAGGGAGCCTCACAAATACAGATTTGTGAGCAATATTCAGTTTGGACGAGCTGGGCGCTGGAAACCAACCCCAGCCTCCCCTCTCCTGTCGAAGACGTTAACTCTTCCCTGCTCTCTGAGGCTCCTTTTGTTATGAGGAGTTTGGAGAATTAAGAATTAGTCTCTGGTTTTAAAGCGTGGCGATATATCATCTTGCTGTCGTGCATGTCATCATCTGTTAAGCTTTTTATGACTGATTGGCAGCCCGCTGCTTTATAGTGTGGCTTTAATGCCCCCGAGGAACGAGAGAATTAAAAAATACACTTCTCTGTCTGCTGAAAAGTCATAAAGCTGTGGCTTCTACTAAGTAAAGAGATTGCTTGCGAAGACATATTTTCTTTTTAAAATGTGTTTTCATTTTTCTTCCTACTGCCGCCCTTCTCCTCTGCCACTGGCACACGAAGCGAACAGATTCACAGTTACAAGATCTGGTGGTTGCCTTCATTTTTAATTTTTGGCTTCTGTGTTCAAGTCAATAAAGGCCAAATACATCTGAAGGATAAATAGCCAATTTTGTGTTTTCTGAAAAGCTGTTCCCTTCCAAGGCAGGGAGCCTGGAGTCAGAATGGCCAGGAGTAAGGACCGGCTCTGTGGCCTCTGGGAGTTTCCTCTTCATTTTGTTTAATGCCTGTCATTTGTCAGTGTGATATTATGCATCAGAAAGTGTGCAAATGAGAGTATGAGTCAAGCTAGTTACTCTGTTTAACCAGCTTGAATTTTTTATTTTTGTTTTGTTTTTAGGGGAAGCAAAAGGACTTGAAGAACAGATATATTAATTTTAGGTTGTAGCTTAACTTACAGCAGGGTTTTTAAAAAGAAAAAAGGAATCCAGAGCGGTCAGCACATTTGGCTTCAGTTTTAACCTATTTCTGGTAGTAGAAACTCAATCTGGGTCTCAACGAATTGAATCTTACCAGAGTTTCTCCGCAATGTCAGCTTCCAGTTATGAAAGGGGGAAATAGAGAAGTCATTCTTAGACAAGGCAGGATATAAATTTCCCTCTGAGCCACAGGAGAGCAGGAGGATTCCGAAAGCAAGAAGGAGGTAGATTTCACCCAGGAATGGCCAAGCAGCAGTCTGTGCAGTCACTTCCAAGCAGGGCTCTTATTCTGGATTTGTCACGAGAATAACTCCACATCCTCGGTGTTTTATCTGCCAAGCCCAGTGAGCATCTAAGGGGTGGCTCTGAATCCTCTGGGCCCCTCCTCCACTGTCATTGTCCTCATCATGCTAACTTCCCGCCCTAAGTGATTCACTTAGAGAATAACCCAGGAAAAAATGATGTAAGCTAATTAGCTCTTTCACCTCCTCCTCCTCCTCCTCCTCCTGCTCCTCCTTCTGCTCCTCCTCCTCCTCCTCCACCTC